TCTGAGGAGGACACCCTGGCCCTCCACAGAGCCCAGGCTGGCTACGGTGCCCCTCACCATCCGCCTCCTCGCCCTCACCATTCCGCCCCACCCACCACTGCAGACCGGCCTGGGAAACCCCTGCCCGCCGGGCCCTGTGCTTGACCGCTGACCCACCCCTTGTTGTCACCTTCCCCCTGCTGTTCACCCTCATGCCTTAAAGACTTAAAGGCGGCTGGGTCACTAGAAATGGTCATCACCCCAAACTGTTTCCTGTCAGCTTTATGGGTCAAAATCTATCCGGCCCAAAGCTCCCCTTCCAATGTATCTGCCACTCATTCCCAGCCCTTTGTTCGAATTCCTTGAGACCCCCTGTCCACCGATCCACACACTTCTTTTGCCTCCACCGCCTCCTTTCCCCTAACTCGGAGTCAAGGGCCCTAATCAGAGTCCCTCCCCAGCGCCTCAGTCTCCCTCCCCTCTGCTCTCGCCACCTACCCAGCTCCGCTCTGGCTCAGTCTGCTGGAGAAAATCCAGTGTGGTGGAGCCACGGCTTCTTTTCCTCCTCTCCTTCCCTGGTGAGCTCCGGGGAGTGCGAGGCAGGCTGGGTTCTTACTTGATGTGGCCCCAGCCCACCCCATTCCCCACGTTTTCCTCCCACCTTGCTGGCTGCTGCTTCTCAGCACCTTCACAGCTCCCTCCTCGTCTCTCTGGCCGTTTCCTAGAGGGGCCAGCCTTCATCCCCTCCTTATCTATCCTCACTCCTTAAAGAATCATCTGACCGTGTGGCTTTCAACACCATCTAAATGCAGATGACTGTCAAATGTGTGTGTCTACTAGTCTGGATCCCTCCCTGGGTTCCAGAGCTGCCTACTCGAATTTTCTACCCGGATTTCATGAGCATCTTAACTTTCATGTGCCCCAAACCCAATTCTCCATTTCCCACTCTACCCACCTTGGTATTCATGCCACCTTCCCATCTCAAAACAACTTCATCATTCAGCTTTTTAAATTCTTATTTTTATTTTTTTAGAGAGTCTTGCTCTGTCGCCCAGGCTGGAGTGCAGTGACACTATCTTGGCTCACTGCAACCCCTGCCTCCCAAGTTCAAGCAATTCTCCTGTCTCAGCCTCGAGAGTAGCTGGGATTACAGACACCCACCACCATGCCTGGCTAAATTTTGTATTTTTAGTAGAGATAGGGGTGTTACCATGTTGGCCAGGCTGGCCTCGAACTGCTGACCTCAAGTGATCTGCCCGCCTCGGCCTAACAGCTTCTCTTAAACCTCTATCTAATTGGTCAATAAATCCCGTCATTGCTCCCTCCTGACGCCCTCCACCTGGGACGGCACTGGAAAACACTGTCCTTTTATTTATAGTCCTTTAATCTCAACCATTAATAACATCATGTGTAGGCAGTGGTCAGAACGAAGCCAGATTATGGTGGTTCTCAACCTTGGCAGCCGCTGGAATCACCTGGGGGACTTTTAAAAATACTGGCGCCTGTGTCCCTCCCCAGAGATTTTGCTTTAATTGGTCTGGGATATGACCTGAGAGGTTTAAAAGCTAACCCCAGCTCCCACCCAGGTGGTTCTAATGTGCAGCCAAGTTTTCAAGCAGCTGTGCTAGGGCTTAAAAAAGACCCAGTGAAAATCATTAGTGTTAATCAGCATTTAAATGTCAAGTAGATTTTGGTATCACACAGTAAAATCAATATACCAAAATGTTAAAGTAAACAATACAGACAGTCCCCAACTTAGTGATGGTTTGATTATGATTTTTCAACTTTATGATTGGTTTGTTGGGGTATTAAATGCATTTTTGGCTTATGGTATTTTCGACTTACAATAGGTTTATTGGGATGTGACATGACCCCATCATAAGTCATGGAACATCTTGCAATTAAAACTGGGAGATTACATTAGTACACCTTAGTCTCTGAATGAGCCTTATAATTTTAATCCTTACTTTTACAATCTTTCATTTCTCATTTTAATAAAAATATTTTAGTTTTAAATATTGATCATTTAGTGAGAAACTCCCAGCACTGCCTAAAATAATGGGGAGACTATCACTATCTCAGTTCCATCTTATATCGTCCGTGTTTTTCTTTTCTTTTTGTGGGGAGGGGACAGGGTCTCACTCTGTTGCCCAGGCTGGAGGGCAGTGGTGCGATCTCAACTCGTAACCTCCACTTCCTGGGCTCAGGTGACCCTTTGCCTCTGCCTCCCAAGTAGCTGCACCACCGTACCTGGTTAATTTCGTTCATTTTTTAATAGAGATAAGATCTCACTATGTTTTCCAGGCTGGTCCCTAACTCCCAGGTTCAAGCAGTATTCTTGCCATGGCCTTCTAACGTGCTAGGGTTATAGTTCCTACACCTGGCCCACTGTGTTTTCTTTTCAAGCACGGTATTTTTTTCTGTGAATTTTGGGGAAAATTAGCCAAAATGCTCATCTCCTTTTCTGGCAGTGCTGAAGGAGTTTAACAGATTAACGAGGCCAGTTTTATCACCTTAATTTTCTTTTTAAATTTTCTAGTACTTTTCCTCAAGGCATTCAGACTGTGGTATTTTCATGGGGGTAATCACGTCACAGTTTATTCATAAGTTAACGAGCGGGGGAGAAAGAGACAATTGGGAGGTAAAGAAAGATCTCTAAAAGCAGCTCACAGAGTGTGGGGTGAAAGGACTGGGGAGTGAGGCACCCAGGGGCCGGCAGCAATGGGCGCCTCTTCTCAGTTCCTGTCTCCAGAGAGAGCTGGGAGAATAGACAGCTGGCGTATTATAAAAGGTCACTGACATCACCACAGCAGAACCCAGATTTTTCTCTTCCACATCCTGATTCCTACTTTTCTCAGCTCAAAATTTCTATTTCCACCTGTTTACTAGAATTGAAGGAAATTCCTGATTAATCCAAAAACGAAGATTGGGTTGCCTGATTTTCCTATTCTCCCTCTGATGCGTATTGTTCCAGGAAGATGGCCGTGCAAACTGTGTTCATCTGAAACCCAAAGTTTATTTATTTTAAAACGTGTCAGCCAAATCAATAAAAATAACTCTTGTAAAAAAAGAAATCCCTGAAAGGGAATGGAGTCAGAGAAATGTTGTGGTGCGTTTTATTACTTGTTTATTTTTGTTCTTATTTTACCACTCTTGTATTTCAGGCTCGAATTATGACTACACTTCCGAAATGATTTTAAGCAAACAAAAAATACTCAACACACTATGAAAACAAATATCCAAAAATATGTTTTATGATCCCAATTTTTGTACCTGAACCTCCGACTCTGTATATGAACAGTGATACCTGTTTTCAATCATTTCTTATTTGACTTGTAAAACAGAATTTTTCTATTTTTGGAAAATGTCTTTAAAAATAAGAACAAGCTCTTCTCTTCAGTGCTACCCATAAAGGACCTTCTTTGTCATCTTCTGTCCTGGAATGGTAACAGGTCGACCCTAATTTCACTCCTTTAAACAAGGTAACGATGGCTTGTGCAGGAAATCTAAATCTGGCCTCAGAGGCAGCCCAGTGATTTTCCAGGTCAAGGGAAAGGGAGAAAGCAAAGATCTGAAGCTCCACACTCGTCTCCTGGGTACCTGCTGTCCACAGAGCTGGGGGAAGTCTGCCATCTAGTGGAATTTGGAGGGCACTGACAGTTACTTGCAATAGTGGTTTCCCAGGACCGCTTGAACACCAGGCATTTCTGATCCTTGTTGGGGCACAGCTTTCATCGGGGACACGGTGGACTAGCAGGAGAATATTCATCAACAATAAGCAACATTCAAACCCAAGACACAAAATGTTCCTTTTTATATATAAACTACACATAATGTCCTATACAAAGTGCTTCTTCCTAAGCAGTGCCAGGTGAAGTGCTAAGCGTTTTAGTTAATAAACCTCATCCCATTTCTACAGGGATCATCAATGTATTCTGCATGACTTTTCCTATACAATGATAAAATCACAGGGTAGGAAGTATACTTAATCCCTATCACAGTGATTAACGTTATACTTTTTAAATTTCTGTACAGAGAATATTTTCCATCTGTTCAGACCCGCGCAATAATCTATTTCAGTTTATGCTTGTCTTTTGACAATGATTGACATATTCAGGTAACAACATTAAGGGGCATTGGAAGGTACACCCCAGGCCAGGTTGCTCAGATATATTCGTGCTCTCTCCTTCTGATTTCATTTGTTACACTGTTCCAGTTTGCTTTTTCATTTATTTATTTATTTATTTATTTATTATTATTATTATTTTTTTTTTTTTTTGAGACGGAGTTTCGCTCTTGTTACCCAGGCTGGAGTGCAATGGCGCAATCTCGGCTCACCGCAACCTCCGCCTCCCGGGTTCAGGCAATTCTCCTGCCCCAGCCTCCTGAGTCGCTGGGATTACAGGCACGCACCACCATGCCCAGCTAATTTTTTGTATTTTTAGTAGAGACGGGGTTTCACCATGTTGACCAGGATGGTCTCGATCTCTTGACCTCGTGATCCACCCGCCTCGGCCTCCCAAAGTGCTGGGATTACAGGCTTGAGCCACCGCGCCCGGCCCATTTATTTATTTTTTATTTTTTGAGATGGAGTCTCGCACTGTCACTCAGGCTGTAGCACTGTGGCACGATCTCGGTTCACTGTAACCTCGCTCTGCTGGGTTCAAGCAATTCTCCTGTCTCAGCCTCCTTATTAGCTGGGACTACAGGCGCCTGTTACCACGCCCAGCTAATTTTTGTATTTTTAGTAGAGACGGGGTTTCACCATGTTTGTCAGGCTGGTCTTGAACTCCTGACTTCACGTGATCCGCCTGCCGGGACCTCCCAAAGTACTGCGATTACAGACATGAGCCACCACGCCTTGCCTGCTTTATGTTTTAAGTGATTGTTTTTAATTATATGAAAGTAGCACATGCCATGAATATATTTAAAAGTATGGTCTCCTGTTCTGCCCCTTCCCACCTCTAGTCTTGGTCCCTAGAGGTAATGTTAGCTGCCTCTTTTGGTATTTTCCTCCATCATCTCAGTAAAATGCTCCGTTGCTATTTCCAGATCTGTCTGTGGTGGACTGACTGCGTGAGTTTGGGTTCTTTCAGAAACAGACGCTGAAATGAATGATTCAAGGACAGGATGGGAAAGTAAGATGAGGGGAAGGCCGTCAATAGAGGGCAGATCATTAAACCAGCCAGCACCATAGGCATCTGCACCGGACCCAGTGTAGAAATGGGAACCAGTGCAAAACAGAGCTCAGGACCACTGGTTTAGAGCTGCTCCTGTCACATGGGCAGCAAGTGAGCTCCAGCACCAAGAGGAACCCCAAAACAGATGCTGGCAATTGCATACAGAGCTGCCTTATGCAGCCATGGTCAGGGACAGGTGTGTGGACAGGGAATTGCCAGTGTCAGCTACAGCCATCCCGCCTGTCAGGTACCCAGGTAAGTGGGAGGCGTGTGTATCCCCACCTTCCCTGCCCTTCCCTTTTGGCCCCACCTCCTCCCTCCTACTGCTCAGCTTCTGATCACATTTGCTTTCTCATTTACCTTCTTCTATAGCTATATTTAGGCCTACAGTTTTATTTTGAAAGCACATTGATAATGTGACTGTGCAGTATTTTTCACTGTCAAGCTACTGTTCGCTATAATTACATTTCTTTTTGCTTTTTTTGAGGCAGGGTCTCACTCTGTTGCCCGGGCTGGAGTGCAGTGGTGCAATCACAGTTCACTGCAGCCTAACTTCCCAGGCTCAGGCAGTCTGCCCACCTTAGTTTCCCTCCCCTCCATAGCTGGGACTACAGGCAAAGGCCACCATGCCCAGCTTATTTTTGTATTTTTTTGTACAGACGGGGTTTTGCTGTGTTACCCAGGCTGATCTCAAACTCCAAGCTTATAGAGATCCGCCCACCTCAGCTTCTCAAAGTGCTGGGATTATATAGGTGTGAGCCACCACACCTGGCCACATTTCTTTTATATGAGAGCTTTTTAATTTTTCCTGAAGTTATTAACTGCCTTTTAATTTTCTCACACCTTTTGCCCTTGTTTCACATTGGTGTTTTTCCTTGACCTGTTTTTCCAATTAGGGATCAAGTATTCCATGGAGACGCTTTCTTTTTTTTTGGTATCTTTTTTTTTTTTTTTTTACTTTTTTGAAACAGTGTCTCACTCTGTCACCAGGCTGGAGTGCAGTGGCACAATCTCTGCTCACTGCAACCTCTGCTGGCCGGGTTCAAGTGATTCTCATGCCTCAGCCTCCCAAGTAGCTGGGATTACAGGTGTGCACCACCATACCCAGCTAATTTTTGTATTTTTAGTAGAGACAGAGTTTCACCATGTTGGCCAGGATGGTCTCCATCTCCTGAGCTCATGATCTGTCCATCTTGGCCTCCCAAAATGCTAGGTTAACAGGTATGAGCCACCACCTCTGGCCCCATGGAGACCCTTTCTATGTAGAGTTTCTCTGCAGGGCCTTGCATCATGGTGTGGAATGAATTCCTGCAAGGGAGTACTACTCTGCAAAACAAAGAATGAGCTATTGAGACATGCAACAACACAGGAACTCTGATTAACTTCGCAGAGTGAAAGAAGCTAGACATTTACATAAAATTCTGTGAGATAAAAATCAATCTACAGCGACAGAAAGAAAGCACTCAGTGGTTTCCTAATGTACGCGAAAACTTAGGTGCGCTGGTATTTTCACCATCTTGTGTTCATGGGTATATACAAATGTCAAAACTTATGAATTTATATAATTTAAATATGTGCAGTTTATTGTGATCAGTTATAATCAATCCAATACACTCAATCAAGTGTTGATGATGTCAATGTTACCATGAAAAAAATAGAAAGATCTGAATAAAATAGAATAAAATAGAACATTGTTGAACAACCCATTTGACCAATGAATGTCTCTCACTGCCTTATGGAAAGAGTAAGTGAATTATTAAGGCTTGGCAAAAGCAAAGTAAAGAAAGTCTCCTACAATCTCTGGAATTCCCTAAAACAACAGTCATACATTTTTACTAGTCAAAGAAAACATACATATAAAATAGCTAAATTTTCAAGCTCCAGCAAAAGTCTTCACTCATTTACTGACTTGTTATTTGCCTTAATGTAGCTTCGTTACCTTATAGAACATTTCCCCATACATCTTAAGGGGGGAACATCTTTACAAAGAGGAAAGCGGGAAGGGAATAAAATCAGGAGAAAAACAAAGATCACTAAAGGATGAGTTTTAAACCATGTTCCTCATCTTCTGGTAGAATTCCACCAGATTCTTCTACTTAGAAACTCAAGCGTCCGACTCATCAATTTTGCCTCTAATTCTGCATTTGCAGATTTATCAGCCAAGCCTTCCAAGAGCTTGCACTCACATTCATGAACACATCCAAAACCAAAACAGATTTAGAAACAGCTTGAGACTCCCAGTCACCTTATCATTCTTTTCAACATTCCCACTAATTTTACCCTCTCCCATACTTCCCATCTCCTCCCCAGGCCACTGAAAAGTATTGAATTTTAATTATGTAGTTGACTCTTCAAACGACACTGTTTATTGAACTGTCTGGTCGTGAAACTACATTGCTACATATCAATATAGTTGTGGGAACTTGGAGATTCAATAGGTATAATAATCTGTTTATGTTAAAACAAACAAAACAACAATCTCCTATGTGCAGAGCCTACTGCTGTAAGGCACAAGGCTTACTCCTGAGACAGAGTACCAGGAAACAGGAGGGAATTTGAGAGCCTGTGGCAAGACAACAGAGTAAACTACTAATTTGTATTTACCTCCCTATATTTTCCCTTTTGTCTTATTTCAGGGCAGGAGTCAGGCCTTTAGCATTTCCTTCCCTTGGTGATTTTTAAAAGTAGAAATCAGAAGTCACTTTTGAACAAAGGCTTTTCTGTCTTTTGCAAACACCACAGCTACCTGCAAAGAGGATGACAGGAGCCTCAGAGGGAAGAGGAGAAGGATACTTTTAAGAGCAAAGAGGTGGGTCAGAGGTTGGGAAGAAGACAAAGGTTAGTGGGTCCCAAGGCTAAGGGAGATGTGGATCTCCTCACATTCCACTCCTCACCCTTTCAGAATAGAAAGGCCAGACCCCAGACACAGAATCTCCATGTCTTCCCTACTGCTCCCATTCCAAGCATGGCACAACTGCTGGAACCAAGGGACCACGCAGGCAGGAACAAAGGGTGTCTCACAAGTGACTGGTGTAGACCGTGGCCAGTGTCCAAAGGGGCCAACACCCCAGATCACTGGCACAACACTGAGTGGTTAAGGAGTTGGACTTAACTACACTTTTTTTTTTTTACCATCCCATATGCTGCGCTAAGATTGATGCGGTGACCTCCTGCTGTATGGCAAAGACCGGCTGGGTGACGCACGGCTACAGAAGGCACTGATTACAAGTGCTATGATTCAGGCCACTTTATCCAGAGCCCATGGCTGAGACTGGTGGTAGAACCAGTGTAATGAGATGAGTGTAAACTCATACTGACTGGGGAAAACCAGGAGTCTGTGATAACCTTAGGTTTGAAGGGTACTTTAGAAAGATTTTAAAGACCTGGACAAACCAGCCTCTCTTTCTGGAGTAACAAAATACAAATCACTTGTTTGTTAGGGTTATCTTGACTTTGTGGAAATGAATTTAAAACAGGACAGTATCAATGAACACAAAACAAAAAATCAAATAAAAGGATTGTTCCCAACATTGTAAAACTTGTGTAAATTAAAAACAAAGAAACAAACAAACCCTACACAGATACAAGATAATCAGAGAAGGAAATGACTTGTAGCCTTGTTAGTTTGCTAGATTAACATCTTCTGGAATTCTTGGAAAATACCTAGAAAGATTTTAAGGTTTCTAAGTTAATTCTCTTTTAAAAAATTACAATTCTCCCTGGAGAAGTAGAGGCAGAGAGAAGCCAATAGACATGCTACCTGGGGAATGGGCCCTTGTGTGCAGATAGCAGTAGGGAAAACTATTCCACCTGTGATGGACATGGCAGTTCCCAGAAACTGGGGCATTTTCCATCATTTCCAATGACACTACCATCCCCCGAGGAGAGACATTTGAATCTTACTTAGGGAACACCCTCAAGAAACTGCTGCTCTTGCAGCACTAGAAAGCAAGAAATGGAGAAACGTCTGATGATGTGGCTCCCTCAGGGTCCCCTCTGCTTCCTGGATTGCTGTCTCCCTTGGCTTCCTCCCCTGTAGCCACATGGGCCTTCTTCAGGTTTCCCCCGTCCTGTGGCCACTGCATCTGCTTCCCTCTGCTGCCTGGATGCTCTTCCCAGACTCAGTATAGCGCATTCCTGCACCATCTTCAAACAGCACCTCCTCAGTAAGGCATTCTCTATCTATCTATGTAAAACTGCAGCCCTGGCCGCAGACCCAGCTCTGCCTTCTGCACTGAGCACCATCTGACACACTATATATTTTACTTGGTGTGTCTGTCTCTCCCCAATAGACAAAAAGTACTGAGTCTTTTACTCAATGTTATGACCTCAGCCCACACTGGTTGCTGTATTAGTCCATTTTCATGCTGCTGATAAAGAAATACCTGAGACTGGGGAAAAACAGGTTTCACTGGACTTAAGAGTTCCACATGGCAGAGGAGGCATCAGAATCATGGCCAAAGGTGAAAGGCACTTCTTACGTGGCGGTGGCAAGAGAAAATGAGGAAGACTCAAAAGCTGAAAACCCTGACAAGCCCATCAGATCTTATGAGACTTATTCACTAGCATGAGAATAGCACAGGAAAGACCCACCCCCATGATTCAATTATCTCCCCCTGGGTCCTTCCCACAACATGTGGGAATTCTGGGAGATACAATTCAAGTTGAGATTTGGGTGGGGAAACAGCCAAACCATATCATTCCAACCCTGGCCCCTCCAAATTTCATGTCCTCACATTTCAAAACCAATCACACCTCCAACAGTCCCCCAAAGTCTTAACTCATTTCATCATTAACCCAAAAGTCCACAGTCCAAAGTCTCATCTGAGACAAGGCAAGTCCCTTCCACCCATGAGCCTCTCAAATCAAAAGCATTGATACAGTGGGGGTACAGGTCCTGGGTAAACACAGGTGTTCCACATGGGAGAAATTGGCCAAAACAAAGGGCCCATGCAAGTCCGAAATCCAGCAGGGCAGTCAAATTTCAAAAGTTCTAAAATGATCTCATTTGACTCCACGTCTCACGTTCAGGTCACACTGATCCAAGAGGTGGGTTCCCTTGATCTTGGGCAGCTCTGCCCCTGTGAGCTTTGCAGGTTACAGCCTTCCTCCTAGCTGCTTTCAAGGGCTGGCGTTGAGTGTCTGCAGCTTTTCCAGGCACACGGTGCAAGCTGTCTGTGGAGCTACCATTCTGAGTCTGGAGGATGGTGGTCCTCTTTTCACAGCTCCACTGGGCAGTGCCCCAGTAGGGACTCTGTGTGAGGGCTTCAACCCCACATTTCCCTTTTGCACTGCCTTAGCAGAGGTTTTCCATGAGGGCCCTGCCCCTGCAGCAAACTCTTGGCTGGGCACCCAGGTATTTCCACACATCTTTTGAAACCAAGGTGAAGGTTCCCAAATCTCAATTCTTGACTTCTTTGCACCCACAGGCTCAACACCACAGGGAAGGTGCCAAGCGTTGAAATTCCACCCTCTGAAGCCCGAGCTGTACATTGACCTTTTACAGCCATGGCTGGGACACAGGGCACTAAGTCCCTAGGCTGCTCACAGCATGAGGACCCTGGGCCTGGCCCATGAAATCACTTTTTCTTCCTGGGTCTCCAGGCCTGTGATGGAAGGGCTGCCATGAAAGTCTCTGACATGACCTGGAGACATTTTCCCCATGGTTTGGGGATTAACGTTAATGGTTCCTTGCTACTTATGCAAAGTTATACAATCAGCTAGAATTTCTCCCCAGAAAATGGGTTTTTCTTTTCTGTCGCAGAATCAGGCTGTAAATTTTCCAAACGTTTATGCTCTGCTTCCCTTATAAAGCTGAATGCCTTTAACAATACCCAATTCACCTCTTGAAGGCTTTGCTGCTTAGAAATTTTTTCTGCTAGACAACCTAAATCATCTGTCTCAAGTTCAAAGTTTCACAGATCCCTAGGGCTGAGGCAAAATGCCCCCAGTCTCTTTGCTAAAATGTAACAAGAGTCACCTTTGCTCCAGTTCCTAAAAAGTTCCTCATCTCCATCCTAAACCACCTCAGCCTGGATTTTATTGCCCATATCACTATCAGCATTTTGAACAAAGCCATTCAACAAGTCTCTAGGAAGTTCCAAACTTTCCCATATTTTCCTGTCTTCTTGTGAGCCCTCCAATCTGTTCCAATCTCTGCCTGTTTCCCAGCTCCAAAGTCACTTTTCCATTTTCAGGTATCTTTTCAGCAATGCCCCACTCTACTGGTACCAATTTACTGCATTAGTCCATTTTCATGTTGTTGATAAAGACATATCCAAGACTGTGCAATTTACAAAAGAAAAAGGTTTAATTGGACTTACAGTTCCATGTGGCTGAGGAAGCCTCACAATCATGGTGGAAGGCAAGGAGGAGCAAGTGTTGTCTTACATGGATGGCAGCAGACAAGGAGAGAGAGAGCTTGTGCAGGAATCTCCCATTTTTAAAACCATCAGATCTCATGAGACTCATTCACTATCATGAAAACAATTCAGGAAAGACCCACTCCTTAATTCAATCACCTCCCACCACTTCCTCCCACGATATGTGGGAATTGTGGGAGTCACAATTCAAGATGAGATTTGGGTGGGGACAAGGCCAAGCCATAACAGGTGCCTAACAAATGCTCATTGCAAGAACAAATGAGTGAGTGAATGCTGGTAGAATAAATGCTGGAGTGGCCTGGGGTTAGTGGCTGTGGCTGAGTGTCTCAGTATAGGACTTTGATGCCCACTGACAATCATCTTTGTTTATACTGTGGTCAGAGAGCAGCAGTGGTCTGAGTTGGGCAGCTTGGACTTGAGCATGGTGGAAGGGGTTGGCTGGGAGAACATTATAGGATGTGCTCTCCCAGAGAGTAGCCTGAATGACTTCAGACCACCCCACATGTCTCCTAATGAGGGCATATGCTAAGGGATGGTTGCTCCCCCACAATATTATTACTCCTTTGGTGCTGTTCTCAAACAAGGAAGTTCCATGAGAACAAAAGCGCTGGCAAAGTTTCTATTAGGGAATGAGGAAGCCATGCCATGCTTTTACAAATGCAACCTAATGTCAAGCTCAAAGACAAAATACTGTAGAATACAATCTGTTTGTATGAATTTACTCTCTTCACCAGGAGATAAGACTAATAGGCAAGAAACAAATCCAGCAGCATTTTTCTTACAAAGGGTCCCTGGGAACAGAGGAGCAGATGCTGGCAATTGCACAGAGCTGCCTTGTGCAGTTGTAGTCAGGGACAGGTGTGTGGGCAGGGAACTGCCAATGTCTCCTACAGCCATCTCACCTTTGGATACCCAGGTAAATGAGAAGCTTACTGAAATAACTGATAAGTTATTTCTGAAGTCTAGGAAGTACTGGAGTTGAAATGCAGAATTTCTCTGCAGTCTTAAGTTTTATTTTTTAAATCAAATGTTGCATTTGTAATCTACATTGTAAAATTTTTAAAAATTACTTACCAGCGAACTCAGAGTTTTTTCCCTACAATTTCAAGACAAACTGATATGCCAAGGCAAGATGAGCCAGGCCAATCCTGCAGCTCTGGGTCCCCCTTGGCACTGTGAATCCCAGGGTTGTAACTCTAATTGGTAAATGTGGAATTCTGCTATCACAAAAAATATCACCTTGTGCCAAAAATGCATCATACAAACAATATCTACTAAGGATGCTCAGGAAGGGCCAAAATATTTGGAAAGACTACATGGAGCCAGACGTAAAAAGCATGAATCAAACTGGTGTCCAAGGTCTAAGCTATCTAAGCTGTAGGACACAATTTTTGCTTTATTTATATATTTTTTAAAATTAGGAAACTGAGTCTTAAGAATTTTCTCTAAAAAAGTAAAAGTTGGAAAACAAGTCATTTTAAAAACAAATATATATTTTTGATAGAAATTGCAAGTAAATATTCAGTAATGCCAGAAATATACTATCTTCGATTCTCAGCTTTTTTTCCAAAAGATACAGAATCATTTTTTGGAAAAGATACAAGATGTACAGACAAATCACATTCATGCCTTACAAATGTTAAATAGGGAACAATTTAAATTCATAATGAACAATGAATATTTTCATATTTTCCAGAAGTTTGGAATTTCAAAAATGTTAGCAAAATTATTCATTTCCATAATTTTTATGAATAAAAATAGAAAGAGCTGATCATGTACCTTAATATTGTCATTTTATATATTATTCAGAAGTACAAACAACCCTTAAGGTAGAATCCCAGGCTTATCATATTATAAAAATACTGAGATATTTATCAAACATAACTAATATAAAAGAAATTACATTTTTGAAAATGCTTCACAAACACCAGTTCATCTTTCTCTTTGGTTCAGAAAATAAAAGAGGTAGGTTCAAAAAATGCCTATTATGTCATTAGATTTTCATTAAAATGCTGGCAATTTATAACAGAAATTATTAGAAGTCAAATGAATTTAAGAACTAAATTAAAAAGTGACAATAAATTCAATTAGTAAATATTTTTCTAAGTTCTAATCACACAAATAAGATAGTTGACTACAAAAATGGCTTTAGTAAAATTTAAAAATGCTATCATTATTATAAATTAAGTCTCCTATATCATAACATGTTCCTAAAACTTGGAGCAAGAGAGAATATGAATGTATATGTTTACAAATTGGGCCTTTCATTTAAATGTAGGTATCTAATGTATATGAGTAATACATACTACTAATATGTATCTCTCACCTCTATGCTGTCCAAATTGAGAAGAGCAGGCTCAAAGATATTCAACAACGAGGGAGAAATAAGCACGTCATTCACTCATGATCATCCCACTTCATGTAATTTAAAAAGAAATTTCAGGTTACTAAAAATGACCCCAAGAAGTCTTCCTGATTAAAATGGAATCTGATTTAAAAAGTAGGAAACAAAGGACAAAGGAAAAAAGATGCTCTTCAGAAGCCGTTACGAGTCAACGGATTTTGTTTCCTGCTGCTTTTCACAGCAACGGGAGAACAGAATCTTTCAATTAAGTTGTCTTGTGTTGACAATTTAACAGTAATATACTGAAAATTAGTGTATAACTCCAGGAACTAAATAATGGTACATGTAAAATAGAAAAGTGCCCACTGAAGTAAAGATAATTTCATCACTTCTCTTTAGAAATTCTACCACTGTGTTCATTCCTATTCAGCTGAAAGAAAAATAAGGACATAAACCCTACACTTATTTGGATGCTTTTGCTGTAAGGTATATTTTAAATGTAATGATTTTCTATTAATGGTTCTACAGGAAATTTAAAGAAATCTATAAAGATATTCAAAATATATAAAACAAGACATTTAAGTATAAAGGAACTGGCATAAACGTAAACCGCCCAAAATAAAGATTAATGATTTATAACTTAACCACACAAAACAAATTTTGTTTAAGCAGGTACATTTTCAGATTTTGGATTCAGGGCAGAGATTTGCAGAAGGACTATTAAGAACAGATAAAGTATAATTGTGTGGCCTTTTCAAAACGTATTAAAACTATGAATTTTACCATTTCTGTGTACATATAATTGAGCTGAAAAGTTGCATTGTTATCATCTTTCCTTTTGCGAAAGAAATACAGTTTCTTTGGCCATAGACTTGTTTCAA